ACCCAATCTTGGAAGTCTAGATTCTGGTGCCTGAGTAGGGAGCGCCCTGGCAAATACCTTCGGGCTGCCCACGGGAAGCGTTCGGGCACGTGCCTTCGGACGCCTCGATTTTCTCCTACAATCGGCAAGAATGCCCCGTGGTGAGACGAGGAGGACGCAAAGGCGGGGAAACTGTGTGGAGGGAGGCGAGTAGAGCAAGGCCAGTGGCGAGATGGCACGGCGGCAGGACTTGCCGTGGGCCGCTTGATTGATGGCTCTGATTGCGCTAGTGCCCAGCTGCTGGAGGCGCCCACGGTATGCGCCTCGCCATCATGGTCCACACGCGCGCGGTCCACTCACGGTGGCTTTCAATATCTGGCAACGGCGGAGAAATAAGAGGCAATAGTGGCCAAACATATACGATATGGTTAAGCGGGTCAATACCAAGGATGAAACTTATCACAATTGGCCAACACGTCGCAATACCTAAGCCCCTGGCTCCAAACTGCGACGATACACGCAAAGCCACAAGCTGCAAATCTAGGATCAACGCGCTCGCCTCGTCAAATTCCGCACGGCGCCTCTGCTCTGTTAAGTGCCGTAACTGTGTCGCAAGCTGGGTTGTAGTATGATCCCACTGCTGCAGAGCAAGTGTAGTCTCGTGGTACACTAGTGGACGCCAACTCTCCAATATCGCGAGAAACAAATCGCGTTGACCATTACGCAACAGCTCCCTGCGCAGCGGCAATCCTGGCCCAGGATCTGCGGTAGATCGCGGTGCTGCTGGAGGCAAACTAGGCAGTGAGATGCCGTCAGAATTTTCTGTTGTGATATTCCCCCAGTCACGAGCAGACGCGAGGCAACGTTGGCATCGCCATGCGCAGTTCAAGGATGACACCCCTGTGGCAAAATCTGCCGACTCCTTGGGATCCATCGGCGTGTGAGATGCTTCCCCCTCCCCAGAACCCCTCCCCTGGGAGCCTGGTCCAGTTGACTTGGAAGGGGGGGTCTATCGGGGACCGCCCGAGCGCATCACGGGGGTACACAGGGCCCAAAAACATGCCAAGAGGGCCCCAAGAGGCCCTCCGGACGGTCCGAGAGAGCCACGAGCCGACGACAGATAGATCCAAAACGCTCACGCTGGCCTCCAGACGGTCCAAGAGGCCCCCAAGACGCCACAAGAAGCCCCCAAGAGGCGTCTCAAGACGGCTTTAAAGAGCAAACATCGCCTCATTTTCTTAGAAAGCATGTATTTTTCGCCTTTTGTGCATTGACACTGTCCAAGACGGCCCAAGAAACCTTCTAGATCGCCCCAAAACGTCCCAACAGGCCCTCAAGAGGGCCCCCAGACGACCTCAGAGGGCCCCAAGACCGCTCAAGAAACCTACAAGGCGACCCAGGGGAGCCCCAGGACAGCGCCAAGAGGGGGCCCAGAGGGGGAACGCGAACGGACATTTCGAGCCTTCGACCCTAAAGCGCCCACCAGCTGCCCCACAAAGGCCCGAACAGGCCCCCAGAGAGCTCCAAAAGGCCCCACAAAAGAACCCAGGAGGCCCCCAGAGGGCCCCCAAGAGGTTCAAAAACTGCCTCCTAAACCCCCCCGGGACGCCTCCCACGAGACCCCATCTGCCATCCGAGTGGCCTCAGACCCGTAGCCCAGGCACTGTGCCGGGATGTTCCGAAGGCCTTTCGGTAATCATTCTTCTGGTATTGTGACATCTGCCCGCAGACTGTAAACGTGGGTTTTCGCTGGTTCCCACATGCGTGCACGGCGAACGCTCAAAATGTCAGCCGCTGACATTACTATTGGCGGAGCGGGCGGTGCCGCGATTGCCAGAGGTCCCGGGGGAATCCTTCGCGAGCACACGGTGGACTGTCCGAAGGGCCCAACACGCCCCACATCTCGCCCCAAGACGCCCACGACGGCTCCAAAACGTGTTTTGACAGATGCCCACCGTCTGTAAAAGTGGGTTCTCGCCCGCTTCCCCATGCGGGCGCGGCGAACACCGAGAATGGCGTTCCCAGAGAACTTCAAACAACCTCCGTTAAAGGCTCCGAACTACCGCCTCCTGACCCTTGAGAGGTCCGCCTCGGCAGCATTGTAGACGGCCTCGCCAATCCATTCCCGCATTTCTGCACACCCTCTTCCACCCCAGGGGCCCCGAGACGGCCCGCATCTCGCTCCAAGACGCCCACGACGGTTCGAAAACGTGTTTTGACAAATGCCCGCCGTCTGTCAAGGTGGGTCCTCGCCCGTTTCCACATGCGCGCACAACGAACACTGGGAATGACAGCCGCAGAAACCACTGTTGACTGTGCGCGCGGTGCCGCGATTGTCGGGTGGCCCCCGGGGAATCATTCGCGAGCACGCGATAGACTGTCCAAGGGGGCCCCGACACGCCCCACACGTCGCTCCAAGACGTTCCCGACGGCTCCAAAACTTACTTTGACAGCTGCCCACCGTCTGTAAAGGTAGGTCGCATGTTTGCCCATGCGTGCACGGCAGACACTGAGAATGGTAATGCCAGCCGCAGAACTCACTGCTATCAGACGCTTCTTTGAGCCCAGGGCGTTCCTACGACCGCGCCACGACGGCCCCAGCGTGCCACCACAAAGGCGCCCAAGAGGCCCTCAGGAGCAACATGCCACTACCGCCGGTCACCCAAGGAGTCGGCGGTGTGACGTAAACCCAAGAATCTATTGAGGGCTCCATGGTTTCACGCGGGATTCCTGTCTGGTTTCTCGCTTCTTCGATGCCCACGTGGCGAACTTCGCCTTGGGATTGAACACACACTTTTACTGTTCTGGAGTTCCCGCTGTAAGGAACGACCATCGCATCCACCGAGCAACCATTAGGATGTTG